ATTTGGCCCGTGACAGAAATAATCTTAACCCGTCCAGCGATGATCATTGCTGTTAGTTCATGCCTGCCGGTCCCCAGCAAATATAACAGCATCTCCAAGAGTTTGCTATCTCAACTTGGTATCCATATAATTTTGACAAAACAAGAAAAAATAGCCTCCAACAGTTTGGTAAAACAACTTGGCATCAATAGCAACTTGGCAAATCTCCCCTCCGTGCGTGCAAATATACGCGCGCGTATACGGCTTGGCATCCGGGACTCTTCGTTTCTTAGTGGGGCTCTTCGTTCGCTTAGCGGGCCTCTTCGTTTTGTTAACGGGTTTTTTTATTTTACCAAGTCAAAAATGCTAAACTCTTGGAGATGGATTGTTTTTTTACTTGGCATATAATTTTGGGAGTTGACAAATCACAAGATTTGCCAAGTAAAATTTGACAAACTCTTGGAGATGCTCTAATACGGCGCCCTGGTACGGAGTAAATCATCATGAAATGCAGAGGAGCTAGATCTGCAATTCGCCATAGCGATCACACCGAATGCGAATAGAAGAATATAAGCACAGACATTAAAAGGAGTGACACCCTGTTACCGTTAGTTTACTACTCAGCTGCTAGATGCCTCCCACAAGTTTGTGTTCTAATTAAGTTTCTAACACCACAGATCCAGTACCAAACCAAATGCAATACTATTTGGAGTTAAAAAGATCCGAGAACATATGTTCCGGCTTTTATATCAATAAGAAGAGGAGAATTGACCCAGTGTAAAGGGAAAACGGGCCCAAAAACTATACAAACACTACTTTTATCAGCTACACAGCTTGTATCGCTACCTACAACTACGAACTCAGCCACGAGCTCTGGTACAGAGAGCAAAGAGAAACATGTGGGCATTTGGCACACAGTCAACAGCTGGACAAACTCCTGGAATTTGAGGTCATGATAAAGGGATATCTGAACACTCTGATTCATGTGTTGATTTAACCCATTTCAAACATGTCCTTTCCATTAGCCAATAGTATGTGGTACATTGTAGAGCAAAGCCTGCAGTTAATCAGTAACAAAGGGTTTTCTGTAATATAAGCCTATTCAGTTCTCAGATTTAGCTAATTTCCAATAAACTCCCAATTTCCTAGAAGAATCCCCAAAAAGATTCTATTAAGTGAAACAATTCTCAGATATAAATTAACATAAAAGTGAAACTTAACAATGAAGATTGAAGACCATAGATAATACAGTCGAGAAGAGGTTATGTTGCTAGGAAGGAAAAATGTTGTTAGTAGGATGTAGGCTTGTTCTAATTAATTTGATTCTGTGAACTTTACCTTTGTTCATGCTTCTTTTCTTTAAGGTCCCATATGTATTTAAGAAAATAGACTATAGAGTGAGGTTTTTCTGAAAAAAGAACCAACACAAAATGAAGTGTCGTTTAGTTAAATGGGGTATTCCGTTTAAGCCAAAAATACAAGGAGAGCTGGGAATTCAAAACTTAGGTATGCAAAACAAATGCCTTTCAAGTAAATGGCTTTTTAAGTTGTTCAATGAGGAGTGTATATGGCAAAATTTGAATTTGATCCAAAAAATACCTAAGAAATATTATTTTAAATCAATTTAGTAAGAAAGCGGGGGACTTGGTCAAGCCTCATGGGCGTGAAGGACTAATTTCTAAATCTCGAGAGATTGAATATGCAGCGTGGCCGCTACCCAAGCTTTAAAAATTTTGATACCCTTCATTGTTTGATATTATTCATGGAAAACATGTGTAAGGAAAATGGACCCTATGTCCATTTACTTTGGATTTTGGTGCTTGATGACCAACACAACCAAATTGGACTAATGAATTTGCAAGTGATTGTTTTATAGTTCAATAGGATGCAAGACGTAACTTGGAAAAAGGCGACGTGATGATCCGATGATCAACACCTCAAGTAAGAACTTAGGAGCACAAGAGAAGACCCAATATATCAAGCAAAGTCCAAGCACGAAGATAGGAACCAAGCCGTACGCAAGATCGCGAAGAAACGAGCTCGCAGAGGCGACCGAACGCTGGACCGGACGCACCGATGAAGAGGCTCAGCAAACTGGCGTCAGAAGCAGCGACCGGACGCTGGACCGAACGCTGGCGGCAAAACCGACCGGACGCAGGGCAGCAGCGTCTGATCGAGTACAGAGAGGTTCCAGAGCGGCGAACTTAGGACCAGACGCGTCCGGTGGCAAGTGACCGGACGCTGGCAGCGTCCGATCAGTTGTTCGCTGCTCCAACGGTTGGGACGACCGGACGCGTCCGGTCAGGACGATTTCAGCGTTCGGTTAGTAGCAGAAAAACGGGATTTCGTCCTCAACGACTACTTTCTCAGTGGGGCTTATAAATACAACCCCCAACCGGCCATTTGAGAGGTGTGGAGCTAAGAAAACATATCAAGGGTGTTGGTACACCATTTTAGTGATCTCCATTTGCATAGTGCTTAGTGATTCATCAGGTGATTAGCGTAGGTGCTTTTGCAAAGTGCTTAGGTTGATTAGACCACCGCTTATGCGCTTGCTCTGAATTTAGGCCTAGTGTTTAGTGAGGTATGCATACCTCTTACCACTCGATGCTTGCGCGCACCATTGTTGTACATCGGAGGGACTTGTAGTCTTGCGAAATCACACCAACCGCGATTGTGGTGTGGCCGTCACCGTGTACCGGAGGGAACAAGGCCCACGACGTTTCGGCCAGAAGCTTGATAGTGAAGACGGAGGGGAGCATCCGAGAGAGGCTTTGCGGAAGGCACGTCGGAGACCCACTTGCACGTGGGAAAGGCCCGAGGCTATCCATGGAGTTACCCAACCGGCAGCTTGGCCCTTGCAAGGGATTCCTTACGAGGGGCTCCAACGAGGACTAGGGGGAAGCTTGCGCGCTTCTCGATACCTCAGTAAAAATACCAGAGTCGTCGACGAGAGTTTGCATATCTCTACTTTGCTCTTTAGTTTCCGCATTTACATTGATTGTATTACTCCTTTTGCGGTATAGATAGCAACACACTAGCAAAACCGTAGTTGCACATTTAGATAGTTTATCTTTCGCATAGGTTTTGCTAAGGTTAGAAAAAGATGTCTTAGTTTAGAGTTAGAATTTTAAGTTGACTAATTCAACCCCCCTTAGACGTCACGGTCCACTTCAATATGCAACAGTATCAAAGGTGCTTAGTTCAAGTCCTCTTAGTGTCTACTTCAGGAGATCTTTAGTAGAAAATAAGCTGCTAACTGATTGGCATAATATATATTGTTGCTCGTGTGGTTTTTTATTAATCTCAATGAGGGTTTATATCCTTTTATGTAAAATCCTCACAAAGATGGTATTTTGACTTCTTTCATAGTCAATTCTATGTATAAATATCTTGTCAATAACTAAGTTAAGGTTACATAAAAATTTTGGCATTTGAAAACAACTCTTAAAATATTTTTATGTGGTATTTTTAAATAGGGGTCATCCTTAACAAAGATAGTTTAGCTAGAAAAAATTAAAATGATAGTAAAGTACGATGGTTTGGTAGTAAATCAGAAATTCTCCAACACCTTTTTTATGTCATTATTGTTAAAATTTATATGGTCTAGTTCCCCTAAACATGTATGCATAAATTCTAATAAATCTCAAAGGGCCCAATACCTGTTTTTTCTAATGGGCTTTAATGTTTAATCCCATGAATATAGGAGAAACGTGCAACATCAATTAGTATCGTATTGCTAGTTGATAAGGAGGTAGGGAGTTTTCCTCCCTATATAAATGTATCAACTCTCCTGGACAAAATTACAATAGAACTAAAATCGGAAGTTCCTAGTTTTGAAAAATCCTAAAGTAGTCAATTAGTGTTTTCCTTTTGTGACTACTATGACACCGTTGTAGCCTCTCCACCCCGACTAGCGGCGAAGACGATTGCCGACGTGCACCAGCAATCGTCTTCGCCGCCATCAGACTCGTCGCATCTTCAACAGGAACGTTCCTCCACCACTCATAGGTGACTTCGTACCACCATCAACAACAGCGTCTTCACCACATCTCCCTCTGCAGCCGAAAGGTACCCACCCCGTGATCTCTGTTCATGATGTTTAATCTTATTAGTGTACGAGCTATGCTTACACTAGTATTTATGTTCATGTTGTTTAATCTGACCAGTATACGAGCTATGCTTACACTATTATTTATATTCATGATGTTTAATCTGACTAGGATACGAGCTATGTTTATACTAGTATCTAAGATTGCTATGAATTATGTTCTGATTTTAATCTGAAAATTGTCTACTTTCTCAACAATTATGCCAAATCTTTTTGAGTGTTATTACTCCAAATCTTTTCTACCGTGATGTGTACTTTGTATTAGACATTCGACCTTCATAGTTCAAATTATTTGTTTAATTTTTGGTCAAAGATCATAATTTTAGATCTTTGTTTTTTTAAATAAGCTGACAAACACAGCATACATTAATCCAACACAGCTTTCTTGTGTTTTTCTTTCTCAGTACATCATCATAAACATGAACCAATTCTCAAGAGGTGTTACGAAACCAGTTGTGGCGGCGGCCATTAGATACTCTCAGCCTGTTCGTTTTGGCTGAATTGGCTTATAAGCCGTGGCTGAAAGTACTGCTGACTGGTTTGGTGTGAGAGAAAAACACTGTTCAAGCAGTGGATTATAAGCCAGATACGAGCGAATAAGCCGAAACGAACAGGCTGTCTAGCTAGTAGTGTTCTTTTTCTTGCAAATTCATGAATTTTGCTGCTGACTTAATTAAAGTGGTTTAGCTGATAACAGGCATACTTACATGGCCAATACAGGATCAGGAAGAAACATACAGGTACACGCACATATAGCATTAGCAATGTCACACATCCTTTTATGTCTAATAACTGGAACAATAAGCTCTATGCAGTGAAGTACTGTTTCAAACAGTTTCACAGCCATCAGCATTGAGAGCTCTGTATCCATGTTTAGTACGGCGTATTCTCAGTAAGGAACGATGATGGACTAGCTCCTGGAGTGGATCCAGCTCTTTTTGTCAATCAGGCCAAACTCATTTGTAAACAGAATGAAGTGCTTGAAACAGGTATTGAGATGGTCCTCCTCTTTAAGGCTAACAATCTTCTGGAAATGAGAGTGGTAGATGTGGGCATATACACGAAACAAGCACTTGAATATTGTCTTCGCTACTTCCTTGAAGTTTGGTGGGAATGGTGTGCCAAGTTTTTGAGGAAATATGGATTCATCATCAAGCTGGCCTTCAATCCAATCCATCAGATACTCCACATATTTTGGTGATGATACCACATATCTGTACACCATCAGCCCATCTGTACTCATACTTTGGGCCAGCTGTCATTGTCGGCAGGGGTGGATCCAACGCTGTGTGTGGAGTGGAACCCCTGTGGAGCCTCCATGAATTTTTAGGCAAAGTTTTATAGTATAAGTAGGGTTGAGACTTAAGATCGAGCAACAGTCGGAGATATGTGTTGTTCAACCCCCCCTAAAATTATTCCTGGATCCGCCGCTGATTGTCGGGCGGCTCTCAGGCGTGCAGAATTCCGTGAGTATTCACAGCAAGCCATTCATTGGCATCCTCTCTAGGAGGCAACCTCAAAGCTAGGGGTGAAAACGGATAGGATAAGAACGGATATCACTTATATTATATTTGTTTTTATATTTTTGGTTGGATTCATATTCGAATACGGATAGTGTCAGTCATGTCGGATATGATACGATTGGATGTCAACATCATAAACATGCGATTTGAGTATTCGGATACGGTATCGGATGTTGAATATTCGGACTCAAATATGGACAAATCTGAACCCCTCTAAACGGATTCGAACTCAAATACGGTCAGAAAATATCCGTACCGTTTTCATCCCACTCACAGCTTCCCAAGGTTTCCACTGCCGAGAGTGGCATTTATGTGCTTTCGGAGCTGCGCTCCCTTGCTGCCTGATGGAGCGCTCTTCTTGGGGCGGAATGTCTTCTGGTTCCGTCCAAGCCCAAAGAGACTCATCCCTCCTCGCCAGATCTTTGTTAATCACAGGAGCTGAGTTTATTAGGCAATTTTGTGTCTTATAATGGCCAAACAAAATTTGTTAACAATGTTATATTGAAGGGGGGCACTAGCTTTGATTCTAGCCAATACTGTTTGGCAGAGCTACACGTACCACCATATCAAAAAAATAAAAACAGCTCTACTCTTAGTTTTTCCGCCCAAACGGTATAACTCCGTGAACTCCGGATCCGTAAAAACATAGATTTACCTCCAGATCCACGGGTGCTCTAAAAACGCTGATTTTGAAACTCCTCATGGAATCGGTGAAAATTACCGACCAATACCACGGTGGGAGCATTGATCTAGCATAGATCCACGCTGGAGCTGCTCTCTGTTTTCTCAAAGCTAGAGCTCTGCCAAAAGCCTTTAGTTAATTTTGGTGTGCCGATTTTTAGTAACAAAGTAACACAATTCTATGTATTCAATGGGTGATTTTTAAATGTCAACCATCTTTTGTTTGTTTGAGTTAAATTTTTGTGGATTGATGCCTCTTTCGTGAAGATTGTAAGCTAGAAGTTTTCCATTATCTAAAAAATAAACCCAACAATCAACTTACTTCAATAAAAAGATAATAACACAACTACACAAGATTGCTTCTGTCAACACTAGCCGCGTGCAATTCAAGTTAAAAGCAAAAAAAGCAAGCTCAGGACTTCATGAGATCAACAAACGAACATACATACATCATTAAGCGTTCAGCGATAGCCTTCGGAAACCAGATGAAATACCAGCACTGCAATGTATATGGTAGGTATCCAACTTGCACAACTGCGTGCTCCACAAATTAGCTGACTCTGATAAACATAACTTACCATTATATATATAGTTAGAAGAGAGACCTCGACATATGCACACACTGATTTACTGAGATTGACAACATTCAGTCTGTTCGTTTCTCTTGGAACAATCGTGAATTATTACTGTTGGTTGGTTTGATGTGAGATAAAAATACTGTTCTGACTTATAATCCACGATCGTTTACACCAAGCGAACAGACTGATTGTTCTACCATCAGTCCACCTTTACGAAGCCAGAAGGGACGAAGCCACAAGCGAACCACCCCTATTGGGTGGGTGGCTATGAAGGCCCCATCATCCTCTTCTCTTATGATGATGAAAACTATTCATAGTTACTATACCTAACTTCGCATTCAAGGAAGTTCCTTTTTTGAAAGAAAGGCGAAAATGAGAAAAGATAGATAGTAGATAGATTCTAGCTAGGACTCTATCATCCCCAAGTATACTGATTGACGATTGATTGATTCACGGTGTTTCAACCATGGCGATGTCCATCGGTGATCAGCAGTGGCCATTGAGCTCCTTGAGATGGTTTCACTCGGAACAGGGCAGCCAGAGGGAGCAACCGGCATGCGAGTGAGCAGCCAGAGGGAGCCCCATGCTGATCACATCAGTGAGCAGCTGTTGGGGTTCTCGTCGCTGAAGATGTTGTAATTGTCGGCATGCGAGTGCGGGGGCATTGGGTACCCCATCGGGTAATGCATCGGTGGCCGGCCATAGCCGTAGCCCATCGCCGGGTAACCTGCTCCGCCGTTCCCGTGCTGCAGCATCATCTGCTGCTGCTGTTGCTGCTGCTGCATCAGGGCCATGTACTGCTGCTGCTGTTGCTGTTGCTGCTGCTGCTGCATCAGGGCCATGTACTGCTGCTGCGCCATAGGGTTCCCGGCTGCCGCGGCGGCCTGAAGCATCTCAGCCCCAGAATGCATGCCGCCAGCACCGCCGCCGTTGCCACTTCCCTGGTAGAACCCCAGGCCCGGCATGCCGCCGCCGCTGCCGCCCTGCTCCATGATACCACCCATGTGCGGGTGGCCCTTCGGCATGCCCATAGGTCCGCCGCCCATCTGGGCGGTGCCGGGGAAGCCGGCACCGGCACCACCCAGCATGTTAGGCCTCATCATGCCCTGCTGAGGCAGCATGCCGCCCATCGGGCCACCGACACCGACGCCGCCGCCCTTCTTCCCCTGGCCCAGGTGGCTTCCGCCGCCCGGGGCGCCGCCTCCCTTCGCATTGGGCGGCTGCCCACCGACGTGGTTGTTTCCCTTGATCTGCACCGGGATCTCGTTCCCGCCGCCTCCACCACCCTTCTTGCCACCACCGCCCTTCTTGTCGCCCCCGCCGGCCGGCGGCGGCATAGCCATGGGCTTCATCATCATCTTGGGGTCGTCGTAGACATCGTCGTCGAAGCCGTCGTCGTCGTAGTCGTCCTCGTCATCGAAGTCGTCGTCGTCGAACTCATCGTCGAACTCGCTGCCGTCGTCGTCGAAGTTGTCCTCGGGGAGGGCGAACTTGACGGACTTGGGGTCCTTCAACGGCGCCGCCGCGGGGAACGCCGGCATATTGCCACCCAAGAGGTGCGGCGGGAGCTTCAGCCCCTTCATCTGCAGCTGCTGCTGCAGCTGCTGGAGCTGCTGCGGCGTCGGCTGCGGCATCACCATCTTCGCATCCTTGCCCCCGCCACCACCACCACCACCACCACCTCCGCCGCCAGCACCCTTGTGACCGCTGCCACCCGCACCGCCCTTCTGGGCCTTGCCGCCGCCGGCGTCCTTGGAATGGCCCTTGCCACCGCCGGCGTCCTTGGAATGGCCCTTGCCGCCGCCGGCCTTGGAATGGCCCTTGCCCCCGCCGCCGCCGCCATGGTGGGCGTTCTGAGGGACGCCGGGCTTGGAACCCCACAGCTGGGCCGGCTTGCCGGCCTTGTTGAGCTTCCTGATGATGGTGTCCGGATCCAGCAAGCCGGACACCGTCACCTTCCCCTGTTCCGCGTCGATGCTGCTCTGGTAGACACCTACAGTACAGATCAATTTCGTCAGGTTTCCGTCAACAAAAATGCAGAGCAAACGTTGACAAAGAAAAAACAGGCAATTTGCTGTTGCAAAAGATGAGTTCGTTCTTGTACCGTCGATCTTGTGGAGGGTCTTCTTGACCTTCTTCTCGCACCCATCACAGTGTATGTTGACTCTCAGCATCAGAGTCTGAAACGAGGAAGGAAAACGTCACGAAAAAACAACAGAACAGAGGGATTTCAAGAGACAACAAGAAACATGGCAGGACTGCAGCCAAGAGGCGTGGAACGGGAACACATGCTGCAAACACAGGCAAAGCTGCCTCCGCCTGCCCTGGAGAGAAAATGGCAGCAAGAAAACAAGACAAGAAGAACGGTGGTGGAGTTGAGAAGAGGCCAGCAAAGCTCACACACCTGCACCTTTAGGACATCCTCCTTGCTCATCCTGGAACTGGAACTGGAACAGCACCTCTACTAGCTGAATGCTTCTACACAAAAGGCACAATAGGATTCAGATCTGGTGCCCGAGCTCTCAAATCAGTCAGAGGGGAACGAGGAGCGAGCAGATATGAAACATTTCTTTCTCAGGAAGAGAGTAGGGAGGGAGTGTAGGCGCTTAATGGGGGTTGGAGGCCGCAATAATATCTGACTTCCAAGGCACTAACACAGTTGCAGTGACTGTGCTGTGTGTGAGTGAGCCTGCTCTGTGCTGCTCAAGAAGTCAAGAGGGAAGTGCTGAGGGTGAGGGAGAGGGAGGGGAGAGGGAGAGGGCGGTGGTACAGCGAACAGCGGCATGGCATGGCATGGGCTCGCAGCCAAAATTGCATGTCAGGGGCCACCCTAGGCAGACGCCATGTGACCCTTGTCTCCTCCTCCTCGCTCTCACACAAGCCACGAGCACAGCCTGCACATAGCACACTGCACCGCAAGGGGATAAAAACCTCTAGTCCTCTTCCATCAATTCCCTAATTTGCTCCTCCTGGAATGGGCCAATGCGTTGGTGAATATTTTTTAGAAAACGGTACTGTAGTACTTTCATTGTTATATGGTAATTAGTGTCCAATTATAGTCTAATTAGGCTTAAAAGATTCGTCTCATTAATTTCGTCTAAACTGTGTAATTAGTTTTATTTTTTATTTATATTTAATGCTTCATGCATGCGTCCAAAGATTCAATGTGACGGAGAATCTTAAAAAAATTTGCAAAATTTTGGGAACTAAACAGCCACTAAATGATAAATAACAATACGTTACCCAAGCATCAGAGAGTAAGACGGTGTTAGGATCCCGTGACTAAAATTTAGGAGATGTATCGGGAAGATGTTACATGATGTGTTCGGGTATTAATAAAAAAAAATTACATAATCCGTCAGTACTCTACGAGACGAATTTTTTAAGCCTAATTAATCCGTCATTAGCACATGTTTACTGTAGCACCACGTTATCAAATCATGAACTAATTAGGCTTAAAAAATTTGTCTCGCAAATTAGTCGCAAATTATACAATTAATTTTATAATTAGTCTATATTTAATACTCTATACATATATCTAAACATTTGATGGAACAGCGACTAAAATTTAAGAGGGACAAAACACCACCTAAGTAAAATCACAAGATAGAGCGAAAGCTTGAGACATGAACTGTGGTGTAACTGTCGGCATGGATGATCAGTTGGGGACTTGAATGCTCTGGTGCAACCGAGAACGAAAAGATGAGAAACCAGTGCAGATTGTGGCAAAGGAAGAAGTGCATGCATGCAGCATTACGTCGGTAAGAAGAAAGTAGAGGCAAATTTTTGTCCGGTTTGTGTTAGACTTATAAGCTGTATTTTTTTTAGCCAACGAATAATATTTTTCTCGCACACTAAATTAGCCAATAATAATTTTAGTCATAGCTTACAGCCAAACAAGTCTAAACGAACAGAATATTTGTGAGATTAGCTAACTCATTTCGTAAAGGTAAATATAATTAGTACTAGAAAAAAGAGCATCTCTAAGAGCCTTTTTAAATTCCACTCTAAATCATTATTTAGAGCGTTGTTTGCATAAAAATTATTTTCTATATCTTTTCACTCTCCAATAGTTTTTATATATCTCGTGCGTACTCTAGAGAGTCATTCTTGTCTTTTATTTTTTGCTAGCGAAAAATTCAGAATAGAAGATAACTATATTTAGATGATCATTTAGAAAGCTATTGGATGGTAGTTTTTCACCAAAATCTCTATTCCTACCATTTAAAAATGATATGGAGAGTATCTCATAACGTCCCCTCTCTATTCTTAGGTAGCCTCCGCCGCTCGCCATCCATCCTCTTCCCGCGCATTGACCCCAGCCCCAGCCTTGGAGGCGGGCGAGTGAGGCGGCCTCCCCAGGCCCCCCGAATCAAGGGCCCCCGATCGGATATCCATACTTTAGTAGAGCCTGGGCCAATACGAGTGCAAGTGACATACAACATGACGATTGGCCTCCTGACTTTGTGGGCTTCTGCAACGGACTTGATAGCGTCCAGACATCTGATCCGGAGCGCTAGCGTCAGATGGTGCCGTGCGCAAAGGAGAAATGGAGTCCGCCCCGCCTGTTTTTCGTGTGCCCCCACCATGTAGGCCCCCATGCCTGCGCTCGATTTCTCACGTGCCCGTCTGTGCTCGCTTGGCGGCGCCCCAGCAGCAGACCCGGGCCGCCTAAACATCACCCAACATCTGTAGCAGGTGGCTGTGGCCGATGGGTTCCATTGCAACATGTGCAACACTAGATCTACTTTTGCAACACCCAGATGGAACACTTGTAACATACGATCGAAACAACTGAAACACTTTGGAACATACATTGTGAAAACACTTGCAAAACACCTGTAAAACACTTGAAAGCCATTGCAAACATATGCAACATCCAGATGAAACACTTGTAAAGTATATGAAACTAAATACAAGCTTGTGTAACGGGGATGAAAACCAACGGGAAGACAAGGATGACATGACGATTTTTCTGCCGAGGTTCACGTGCTTGCCAACACGCTAGTCCCCGTTGTGTCGACCGCTCACTTGGTGGTTTGGTGGCTAATTGGCATCATCCGCCAAGTCCGCACATTGAGCACCGCAAGAACCTACCCACAAGTGAGGGTAGCTCAATAACACGCTATCGGGCCCTTAATTTGAGAGTCCACTTGTATTTGCGCCAGGATCAAGCACAAATACGCACAAAATAACATAGTTGGCACATAGATTTAATATAAAATACCGAGCTTTATTGATATTAAAAATATGGTCTTACAATAGTCAAGGTTCAAATGACATATCCATAGGTATTACATAACTAGCGAGGTTCTAATGCCGTGAAGCGGCAATTTATTACAACAGGGTGGTAGATACTACAACGAAAACTACAGCGTAGCGATACTCTAATCCACAGGCAAGCTTGAGCGCGGTCGAAACCCTATGTCCTAGCGACTCCTTCCAGCAAATCTATAAAACTTCGCGTGGCTCCTAGTCCTCGTGGTCTGCCTCTTCATCGATGTCGTAGTCCTCTTCGGGGTTGATATCTGTGAGTCATCAACGAATGAGTACATAAAGTACTCAGCAAGCCCTAACCTTGGGGTATGGTGGAGTGGATGGTGGAGGCTTTTTCGTGGAGGTGGATTAAAATGGCGGAGGTGGTAAGGGGATGGTAATATAGTTCAAGTAATGTTTGGGCCCTGGAAGAGCATCACCCTTCTTGCTAGTTCCTAGGTTAGTATTACAAGTTATTTGAATAATCGCATTAGCACAGTTCATAAATAAAAGATGATTAGTCATAAGAGACCTCATCCTAGCGATTGCCCATTCAAAGGACGTGGCTATTCGAATAAATTCAATACGCTCTGCAGAGGGTGTACACTTTTCCCCACATGATAGGCGTAATTCCCAACCATGATCAGTGGTGGAAATAGACCTAACGAGATCTCGTACCCGAAAGACACGATCTTAGATTTTCATATAATTCTATCACGACTTCTCAGGTGCTGGGAAACGACTTGGATGATCACTCATCATCCAATAGATAACGACTTGGATGATCACACGACATCCAATAGATATAAATATAAATATAGGTGCTCGCACACGGCACAACGACAATTTTACATGGAAGACCACATAGCATCCATGCCGACTAGACCACGGAAGATCACCCAGCATCCGTGTCGTCTCCTGATAGTCCGTTGCCACGCCGACCTCCTAGTAGAAATTATACTTCTATCTAACGGGGTGTGAGATCCAATCTACCCATATAGATATGTGGATGCACGAAATATCAGGCCAGGCGAGATGGCCTATGAACCGGTCCTTATGCGACCAAGGCGAGTATCTTTCAACAGGAACCCTCACTAGGCGATCCTGCCAAGGTAGTTTATACCCCATAAACTACCCATCACTCGCCGCCTGTCTAAAACGGGTTTGCTAAATACACATTCACATAGTTTGGTTCTTAAGCTCATCCTTAGATTAAAAGTCCATGGAATATTATAAAGAGTTATATCATGTCACAAATGCTCATATTATAAATATATCACAAGAGCTCATATCAAGTCACAATATCTCACATTATTCGTCATCATGAATATTTATATATAATAATATGGATTATATAAATTGGATTTATTAGTTATTTATTAGGTAAAGTGGAAAGTAGTGGGGTCAGGATGGAAAGGTGAAATATGGTGGTGGGAGAAGGGGAGTTCGGACTTGCCTTCACTGTGCTCTCCTTCCGATTCAAGGTAGTCCGGGTCCTCGTTTTTCTGATATTCGCCACCTCTGTCGGTCGTTGCTAATAAATAAGACTACGGCTAGCGCAAAAGCAAACACAAAAACAAACATAGAATCATATGGTGGTACTAGGTAAAATAAATAGAGCTTGATTTTAGAGGAATTTTGGTGGTGGTTTTACAGAAAACGGAATTAGAACGGAGGAGATATGATTTTTAGAAGTTAAAATAGGGTTTTGGGATTTTATGGAATTTTGGAGATATTTGGATGAATGGGAAAGTCGTGGTAAAGGTGTGGGTAGGCTCTAGGGTGCCTCTAGTATTTATAGGATTTTTTTGGGAATTTTTCTATGTAAGGAAAGTGTTTTCCATCACTCTGTGTACACAGCCCGTGTGACCCTAGCAATTATCTGCGTGTTGTGCATTGTGCACGTGATGGTGTATCAAACAAGTGGGGTCAGGGCGTCGGTGACACGTGTCGCTGACGTGTGGGCCATCCTTGGCCTCCCTCCTTAAACGGGCGGGACGCCGTTTCGGACCCGGGCCCGCGTGACAGAGGACGAAGGGGGAACGGAGGGCGATGGCGTTCGGACAGTGGTCACCGGCGCGGCGGCCGAAGGCAGTGGAGGGGCGCGAGCTCGCCTGAATTGGCCTCGCCGGCGACGCGCTCGCCCGAGGCTCGACACAGGATAGCTGCCGGATCTCC